AGCGTAATATTTTTATTCGATGAAAAAATATTTTTATTTACAATTCTATGAAAAAATTTATTTCCCAAATATAAAATATATGGGGCCCGGCGCCAAAAATACTAGGAGCGGACTAGCAAATTGTGGAAAAGAAATCACTTACGCAGATTCATAGCAAAATATTTAACTAACCAAAATCAAAAAGAATTTGTTTGATAAAAATGCCTATTGGCAGCCATGGGACGAACTTAAGGTAGATACAATGGAAAAAATAAATTTGTATGTCAGAAAAAATATTTATTTTGTCGCAAGTAATTTAAAATAATTTTTCTACTAGCTAGTTTATCGGCAGTTTTTTAAATATATCTGTGGCCAAACACTGCTTTTAATTTTTATATATCTACTGAAATTCATAAGTCAGTTTTCTTTGAAATTCTACAAAATAGCTGAAGGAAAATCCTCTGCAATATAAAATTGAAATGGACGGAAGTGTATACATATATTCTTGACTCGCGAGTGGATTAATCAGATTTAGCATTTAGCCAAAAGTGGACGCTTCTGTGGACGAGATCCGTTTTCGATGGCAAAAGTCCTGCTTGCATAAGCTCAGCTCTTGTTGCATAAAATGTAGGTAGAATTGAAGGTTTCATGCAAATACATGCCATGCACATAATTTGGTATCCATGTATCTATTGTAAATGTTTTTTTTTTGTCATTTTTAAAAGGAAGAAGTACGAACTGCTTTAGAAATAAAATAAATGTGTTGGCTAATTTTCCTCAAATTGCATAAAATTTAGTACTTGGGGCCAAAAAAGTTTTGTACGAGGTGGGCGTCATAGTAAGAAATTCTTCATTAAATATTGCCCAAATTAGGATATTTTAAAATAAACGAGCAGGGCATACCCAATTTCATTAAAATATAATCATTTAACATTTGCGCCTTTCTTTCTTTAGAGTTTGAGAACGTTAATATTAACCGATTTTGATGTTATTAGAGATATATTCTTTTCTGATTAAAGCCAGCATATATATACTCTAAATTTCATCAAAATCTGATAACATTTACAATTTCTCTCCAAAGAGCTGCGGGTGTGGCAGTGCGTCCACTTTTACAATTTTCCACAATTCTTCATTTCTAAGTGCAGAATAGAGCATATACGAAATTTCAGCGAATTTGTTGTGCGGTTGGTTAATACTTTTAGCTGCAACTATATGGAGACGGCGCGGTTAAATGTTAATACCAAAAATCTACCACCCTATTGCAAGTACGTATTTACTAGAGCCCTGCACGATTACATATAACAAGTGACAGGTTAAAATAAATAACCACTACCAACAAAATTTTTACCCAGAAACCAAACTATACTTTTGCGAAGATTTTCGATACGCTAAGTCTAAATCTGGGCTCGAACGTGTGACGAACACACGGCATCGTACTACTCGTCACGTAAAAACACATTTTTCGGATTATAACATACGTGAACATAATCTTTGTCCCATTCAGCTTATACTGCCTAACGTATCACGTAATTTTCTTTCGTATCGTTTTCGATCTGTGAACTGATGTTACGAATCGAGCCCTGCCCGCAGAATTGCTCTGTCTGTTATACCTTAGCGAAGAATCAGCGCATAAAAGTAGTCAGCATTCTGGGTAAGGAGGTAGGTCTCATATCGTTGGCCTAATAATACTGATGCCGATGCGGCGAGTAAACGATGCGTAACGGTAAACTTGGCATCGTTGATCACACTGGTTTACAGCAAAAATGTTCAACGGATGCCACTATCCAATTCCTATATAGAACTGCTCGCTGATTCCGAAAGTCGAGTTAATTTTTTCTCAGCAGTTTTTCGGCAGTTGAAAGCTAGCGAAATTCTATATAAACCATATATATATCACTTTTCGATAGATCTGATAGCTTCCGACAAATTAAGTAATAATTCCAAATTTTTTTGGTTTTTTGATGAAAAAATTAAAAATAATGAAACTTTCGACAGGAGAAAGATTTTAAAATTACAGATTCTGTGTAAAGCGTGTTACTCTTTTATGCGCATTTTGACCAGTCATTACTTCTTTATTTATCAATCGCTGTGCTTCATTAGTAACTTGATTTTTTAACAGAACAGGCTTTAACACAAATGCAAAACATTGACACAGAATATATATTTTTTTTTCTCTTATCAAGGTTTTAATTTTTTAATTTTTGCTTCAAAAAACAAAAAAAAACTGGAATGATTAATCAAACGGGCAGATTCTGGAATTCACTTCCGATTGAATTTCAACTCCTGTCAATTTGAATTCAAAGCGAACTTAAATGAAATTCACTCGGAAATGATTTGCCGAGCCTATCGGAAAGTTATGTTTATGATTTTCATATTCGTATTTCATATTAAGATTGTTCAATTGCTTCGTAAGATATATGTGATTAAGTGGAACTACTTTTTGTTTTGAGCTGAGTAACGGTAAATAAAAAATATCTCGAAAACTTATTCATAGAATAAAATATTAACTCGATTTTCGGAATCAGTGGGCGATTCTACATGCACTATCCAACCCAGCACGTTTTACTAAGGCCGCCATATTATTTGACGGACATATGATGTCCGTTGTAATGGCAAATGTATTCATTAACTTAAATGCTACGCATGTAGATTATTGAATCAAAAATAAAATTTAGTTTTATTGAGTTCTCACTTAAATTTTATGCCCAGCACAAATACATACATACAACGGATGTGTGTGTATACATACATATGTGCGTTTATGTCAATTTATTTTAAAATGTGTCAGATAATTTTCAACGCAGGACCTCCATTAAATGTACATATGTACATATGTATGTGCATACCGACTGCATGTGAACTGCAAATACGTAAATATGTAGGTTATGTAATGCTCCCAGCAACCCAAAATATTTCACAGAACATTTACGAGACCACAACTATGTTGTTATTGTTGGGAATTTTAGCTAAATCCACATAATATGGATGACTTCAGTTTGATTAGTTTTTCTCATACTCCTGAATTTTTGTAATTGTTGTTTACTAACCACCACGAAGATTTATCAATGTGACGTCGGTAAACACACAGTGTCGATCGAAACAATAGCCCCCCCATCCACCTTTCAAAGAGATGTTGTTTTCAATTAAAATAATGTTCATTCTCTAAAAAAAAAAAACATATTAACCCAAGTTTAAAACTTTGTAGAAAACCACAAGAAAATGCAACAAATTTTCACCCAAATATAAAACTTTTTTCTCAGAAGTGTTGGAATTTTTGTGAGTACACAGTTTTATAGCCTATTCAATTTTAATCTGATAATGTGTATGTTGATTTTTTATAATTTTTTCGCCGAAGGTGTTGGGGGTTTCTTCCATATAAAGTGGCAAGCAATATCAATTTGAAATGGGGGTGCTATAGATATGACCGACACTGTGTGTATGTATGCATGTATGTATATTTATAAACGCATTATTATTTATAAAAGCAAATTATGTAAACTGTGCAGAGGAAAGAAAAAATATGTACTGGCGAGTAAGGGGGAATCTAGCTTGTACTTCAAGTAATACATTCATACATTTGTATGTTGCGCGTATAAAATGGTTTGTAGAGTTTATTGAACCGAATAAATTAATTCATGCTTAATTAATATTTTTATAAATTTAAGGTTATGATAGGATTTTTAAGGAATTAGATTTGGTCAAGACGCGTCGTCGCCTAAATCGCCGTTGTGGGAAAAATGAGATTTGGTAACCCTGAACTCCAGGCATAGATATTCATGCATAAAAATCGTTAAATCGTTATTAAAACAAGAGATTTGTATAACAAAAGCTAGAGAAAATACCGCCTATCAAGGCAATGCCTTCAAAGAATAACCGTTTTTTCGCTCTCCTGTGCAATTTTAGTGCCGTAAGATAGGCGGATGTGCGACATGTACATATACCCAATTGCTATTAGGTTGGTTGGTTGGCTGGTTTGGCAAGTTTAATATTAGCACTAACATATGTACGCCGTTTTAAAAACACAGAAAAAAAGAAACTATGACAAAAAGCAAAACTGCACTATTTTGTCTGCATCTGGTTAATTACAGGACGACAAGAAGTATTGAGTTCCAGTCTTGCAGCATGGATTCCCTCTGCCAAGTGCCCTGTGTAGACGGCAGTTAGTCGGGATAAATCCCTGTGCTGTTCAGTTTTATGAGAGTCGCAGAGCGTTTTGCGCAATATGTGGACCTAAGATTCCTACCGACCCTATGGGACTGAATGTTTTTCCACCTACTGTTTTGGCCACCTTTCTCCAGTGCTGAGAGATGCGGCTCTCGATGAAGCTCACGGGCACAATAATCACTTCTGCCAATCACATATCCAGAGCCGACCCCTTTATGGCTAGCTTGTCGACCATCTGGTTGGCATGAATCCTGCTGTACCTCCGGTACCCAGAACAGTGCAACGACATGGCTATCAGCTAATGCCGTAACGTAGTCTTTGTATTGTTTTATTGTGCAGGATGTGATACTTGCACAGCCGAGTACCTTAATCGCCGTCTAGCTATCAGAAAAGATAGCAATTCTGGTACCTGCTAGCTCCAAGGCTAAAATTATTTTGCACGCCTCTTTGATGGCCAAGACTTTTGCCTAAAAAGCACTGGTCTAATACGGTGGTCTTTTAAAGTAGGCTTTCCAAGTTGGAGGTCGGTTGAAAACATCCACGACACAATGACATAACTCGTTTTTGAGCCATCCGTAAAAATAGATGTTTGGAAGCGTTCACTTAAAAACAGCTCATTTCGACTGCTTCGTTGATGAAAACATGTCGAAGTGAAGCGACGGACAGATGTATTCAGATTTGAAAGAATGTTTGGGCAATGCAAGCTGACATCTGTACCCTACCTAGCTTTGGGTATATGTAATTCGTCTCTTTCCACCAAACCAGCGAACCGTATGCTGGGCCTTGTTCACCCACTTCTTACCTATAATATTCTTGCATGAATACAATTCGTTTTCTAGTTTAATTTCGGGGTAAGAATGACTCCCAAATACTTAGCACAAGAACAGAGCGATACCATAATCACTACATCGTCCGCGTACGTGAAAACTGTAACCCCATCTCTGTTGATTCGTAGAAGCATATTGTTTAATACGCAGAGCCACATCAGCGTTGACAGTAGACCGCCTTGCGGAATCTTTCGTATAGGACGCCTGATGACTTCGCTGTTGCCAAGCTTAGCGTTTACAATCCTTGTACGAAGCATGCATGAACCAACGACTCTTAGTCTAACAACAACTCTGCCCAGGACTTGGTCAATGACCAATTGAGACAGCCATGCCTCAATGTCCTCCCACTTGTCACACACCAGCTTCACCTTGTTGGAAACCTCACCTATAAGCGCCACCTGCTATCTCTCGCCACCTCGCTGAAGCCACGCCGAGACTCTGATGCAGTAGCTGCACCTGATTGGTCAGCAGAAAACCTCCATTTTTTTAGAGTCTTTCAGCCTCATCCTGAATGATGCAGTTTCTCGCATCATTGTGTTGGGTGGCCTGCTACTCATCCACCACCGCCTGAAAACGAGTTTTGTGGTCGGCGTCCTTCGATTGTTTTTTTCCGCTGTTCAATAGAAATGCAGTTTAAGGGATCTAAGCTTAAACTCTGGTCCTAAGGGCCAGTTTAAAGTTGGCAGGCATTCGATTGGCTGATCTTAGTTTAAACCAGCCAGATCGGGCGTTTAATATTAGTTTAAACTACGGCCGTGCACTGAAAAACTGACCCTAAGTGGTATATTTACTGGCACCGGCAGATTTATCGTGTTGTTTAATAAAATGCCCCTTTTTCGCAAAATTTCTTCTTCTTCCTCGAAATGTAATTAAAGAGAAGCTTCCCTGATTGATACCTACAAGTCCAGATAAAAGCTAGGTTTAAAAAAAATAAGTGAAGCGGACTGTATTTTGAACTGTAAAATCTGTATTTAAACCCTCTTTAAAGAAGTTTATCTTATAGATATCGTCCATCTCTGAAAATAAATGGTCTGGAAAGTATCTTGTATGTGATTGTAAATGATTCTAATGGAGAACAATAAAAGTAGATTATAATTATGCTTTTTCTCTAATAGTGCATAAAAACTAATCTTTGCCATTTTTCCTCCGTTTTACTATATTTTAAAGAATTACCACGCATTTATAGTAAATCTGCATCTTTAAATTTTTAATAGGACGTCAGAATTTACATAAGTTTTATGAAAGATATCTTTTGAAATTTGTATCCTTTAATATCCTTATATACATATTTTTATAGGACATAAATTAAGCTAAAATTCTTCAAAATGCATTCAAAATTAAAGGCTTGAAGGATAATATTTTTAAAGAACATTTTTGTCATGTTCCAAAGGATATATGAAAACAAAAGTTATAATTAATCTTGTTTTGAATTTTTCTTTCATATAGGCCCCTATTATGAGTTGCATTCGATTTTCGACTGTGGTCGAAAGTGCTGAGCGAACGAATTTTCATTTGGTATTATGGCGCTCATTCGATGAAGAATAGCGCTATTGTGAATTTCGCTCGTTTAGGTTGTTCACAATAGTATATTTTTCACCGCTGAGAAGCTTTGTTTACAAATCGAGCAAACTAAATAGTGTGCTTATACATATTTATGTAAATTTGTTCTAATTAAAATGAAATAAAAAAGAAAGCGAGTTTATAAAAACGTGGTAAAATGAGTACAACGAGTTCTGGTTCAACGATTCGTCAGAGGATGAGAGCTTAGTAAACTGGCCAGGAGTAGCAAATGTTTAAGAAAGTTTATTAGTCTTTCGAATATATTTTGATATAAAATATATTTAAGAAATTTGTCTACAGATTCATTAAAAAGTTCCGACCATCTAAAGAGGCGTTTGTGAGCCAAATCTATTTAAAATATTTTAAAACTATCAACAGCGCTACGATTTTGTTCTCAGAGATCGTGCCAACAGGGTATTGGGATTTTCTTTCACAAGTAAAACCAGCCTTTCGAGCTTGTGTTTAGTATTCACGATGTTAGAACTGCATGAAATTAATAAAAATTGTTTAAAATTAGTGTCTAGCCGCCAAAATGTAAGAAAACATATACAAAATCATACATTTTTCACAATTTTCTAACACTTCGCTACACCATCGAAAGCAAAATTCTGTTCGACAGAAAGTTCGATACTCAACGAAAATTTCGACAACCTTGCATAGCTCATAATACGAATTTCACTTTCGATCTTCGTTCTTCGATAGCCAGCGAAGATCGAAAATCGAATGCAGCTCATAATAAGGGCCATATCCATATTTGGTGTAAACGTTTGGAAATAGAGTTCATGATTCTTTGGAAAAAATCCCGACTACCTGGTAGAAAGCCAAAAAACGCAGACTTACTAAATATTATGCCCTAATACTGCAGAGTAAAGTCTCGCGAAATGCAAAAAACTTATGATAACTGTATCTGCAGTCGGCACGGGTTGTCGTTGTCCGAATTCCATAAAATAGTTTAAGATAAAACCAATAAAATTATGGGGTATGCGTTAAAAAAAACTTTGGTTTTTTGGGACAGTCTAATGTACATATATGTATATGTACATACAGTATAGGTAGGTGAACTTTAAAACACTTTATTTTTTCGTTAGAATCCATCTCGGGTATGCTTTTGAGCAATGCACTGTAAAATGCAAATAAACAAAACCCAATTAAATTAATTTACGTATAAATAAGTATGTATGTATGTATATAAATACAATTAACGGTTTTTAGTTTCGTTAGAAAAGCATGAATCAATACATATTGTTGTCAATTGTGATTTGAAAGATTTGCTGTTCTCTTTGAATTTATACACACATATGTAGATAATCATTGCATCCATTTTTTTGCAAGTCTTTAATTTTTTAACATATTTTGTACTTTGTCCAACTGAAAGTAACTCCTTTCTTATTTCACATTTACTAACCTTAATGTTTCCTATATCCTTATTTTTCTGACTTCTGGTAGTCCTATCGTACTAATCGCTACCTTTCGTATGGAACTTTATTACGATGACACTGAGGTGGCTGTATGCTTCACATCAGCGGAAACCTTTTGGTCGGCTTTCTACTTTATCACTTGCATTACAATCTTCTTTGTTCTACCCTTCATTGTGTTGGTTGTGCTCTATGCTGCAATCGCCTACAAACTTCTACGTCGCAACATTGACTTTCATCGCCCCACCACCGCTGCTCACGTGCCGCCCACCACCTGTTTAAGTTCGGTTATTCTACGCCATCAATCGATAAATAATAAACTGCCACTCCAGATGACGTCCAATGGCGTGGGAGCCCAACAACTTAGCACCGGTATGCGAAAACATCGCAAACAAGTGATATTCATGTTGGTTGCCGTAGTCGCCAGTTTTTTTATTTGCCTTTTGCCATTTCGCGCATTCACATTATGGGTTATCACTGCACCTACGAAGGACATCGCAAGTCTTGGCATTGATGGTTATTATGGTATTTTATATTTCTGCCGTATAATGTTGTATTTAAATTCGGCTTTAAACCCTATACTGTACAATCTTATGTCTTCGAAATTCCGTACTGGATTCTGGCGCTTGATCATTTCCTGCTGCGGAGGCGGCACGGATCGTGTTATTGGACGTGGCAATAAGGGGGCAACAACTACTGCCACAACAACAAC